CCCCCCCCCCCCCTCCCGATGCAATTACTGGCACTGTAGCTATATTTAAAAAATAAGAGAAAAAGAGATAAAGAGAAAAGACAAGTGTGTATGTACGATAAGAGATCTTCGAAGCAGTCTCGACGCGTGTATATTTTCGATACACAATCATGTATATTTAATAATCATCATGTTTTGCTACACAATGGAAATATAATGCAAATGTATACGGTTTACGTTGTCGTAACTATCATATCACTGACCGCAGGGATATGTATACACAAGACGTGCCCACTATACAATCCCCCGTGTCAATTTCTTGCATACGTAACGCAGGTACATTTCGGAAAAAAAGAAACTTCAGTCAGTATAAAATCAAGATTACACTTTCAAGATAGGTATGGACCGAGCGAACGAACAAACGCGAGCAGCGAAAATGTGAGGATAAGCTTCTACGAAATTTTCTTTGATGTACCGTTTCACTTCAATCAGTCTGAACACAAAGCCAAATATTAACAAACCATTCTGTTTGCATTCTCTATGATGAAAATCTTTGAAACTTGAACAGAGAAAGTTTATCTTCGTTGATCATTCGCTCGCGTGCACCCACTTTTACAAATACATTCAAGTGATAGTCTAATTTAAAACGAAGATTGTTGTATCGTGTGTCACTGGGAACTCCGTCATGTATATATTAGCGTAAAAATATTCTCAGACGTCGAAATAAAGGGTAGTATAGTGAAAGAGAACAAAAGATAATGAGGGGTAAATATTTCTATCACGCGCATTTCTCGATTGTATGTGTAATAAATGACAAAAAGAGTTCGTAATAAAAACTTATCCTCTTGCGTATATATGTCTCTTGTATATATATATTTCTTTTCTGTATCTACATCCTCTTTACACGTGCATATAATATCTTGCTTGATCATGCTTCAATATAGTATATATATATATAATATATATATTAATACATTATATGTATATTATATATATATATATATATATATATATATATATATACATACACATACACATTTTTTCGTACGAATATATTAAAAAATCTATTTTTTCCTTTATATTGTGGCGTATAATAATTTGATACACGAACATTTTCGTATGTATGGAGTATTCTCATGCAGGAAAAATAATCTGTGATTTCTTTTTTTCTGTAATATTAATCTCACCAATCAACTCAGATCTGTATGGAAATGAAAAGTCTGCAATATAGACAAATTATGTCTAATGTAATTTAACACTCGGTCTCTGCTGAAAATCTTAGAGATGCACAGAAATTGCGGCCAAAGCTGATAGCGTCTTCCTCTCTCCGCCTAAGATATTTTCTCTTTAGGTAATTTTTCGATGTTGACAAAAACTTGGAAACGCTATCTCAGAATAGCTAACATTTTCTGCTCATCTCCCATTCTCTCTTTCTCTCTCTCTCACAGTAGGACCATTTCATATATATACATATATATTAAATACAACTAAAATGATATGTATCAACAATAATATATATACAAAATAAATATAAATATATATTTATATATATTAAAAAGATAGGTTCCCCAGCTGCGAATCTTCGTAAAAAAATATCATATATTAATAACAAAACATTGTAGTCAACAGAAATTATATACAATACATGTCTACACGATACGATCGATAAAATTCTCGTTACACTTTTACATGCGATTTTAAAAAAGCATATACATTAAAAAAAAATATTTAGAATAATTTTGAAAAAAAAATAACATGACTATAAAATCATGACGATTTATGAGTAATCTATTATACCATATAGAAATCACTTTTTATGTCATTAATAAATTAAACAATTTGATAATCACGTAAACAATTGAAAATTCAAAAACAATTGAATACGTTATTATCAACAATTGATTGAAATTATGGTCCTACTGTATATGTACCAAATAAATAATTTTCAAGAATGCAAATATTTTTCTTTCCCCCTTCCTTATTGACGTGATTAGGCTTGGACTGAGCTTTTTCATTGAATAAAAAAGCAGATCCCACTTATACGCGTTAATCACAAGATTTTAGTTGTAGCGATTCGGTTTTTTGGAAAAACGTGTATATAACATTCTGGGCATTACAATGTAATACGAGCTGCTGGAACACACCCAGGTTTATGCTTACAGCATACCTAGAATAATAATATAGCACCTAGGTTTTTTGTACTTTAGCAATTATTTCGTCATGATACTGTAATTAATTATAAACATACACCTATGATGCCACAATGTATTTACATTATGCGAGTATGACTATCAAGACGTGAATGGGAAGCAATCTAAATTCATTCGCACTAAAAGTCGCTTTTTATTTCTCACACACTCATGCATTCTTTCTTATTACTCATATATTCAAGAATCAAAATTATATAGTAAAAATCTTGTTTTACACCTCGTATATATTTAATATATACGAAATGTGTTTCATCGTAATACCCATTAGATGTAATTGTTTTATTGGCGCGGTATAATCCATTAAATCTACACCCCTGTCGATATAATACAAAATATCTACATTCGATTTTAATAAAAAAATCGACCGATACAAGTATACTTGACGTGGTTGTCCAACTCGTGGTATCGGTTTGCCACATCTCCCATCGGGAGTATCACTCTTTCGAAATCCGTTAACATCGTCTGGGAGACGAATTATTAACGGAGCAACACGTTTGTCTTCGCGGCTCCATAAATTCGACAAGCTGACATTTATTTCGAAAAAGGACGTGTTATTATTTTTCGTTATCTGCGAAACGCTAAAATGTAGACAGGAAGTGGACGTATCGCGCGTAGCTATCGACAAACATGGAAGGCAAGCTATCTTCGCTGACAGTGATCGGTCGGTCGGTCGGTCGGTCAGTCGGTTCGAATTATCGCTAGACGAATATGAAGCGCAAAGACTCTACCAGTCCGATGTTTTGAGTTGGATGCAGCACGTGTTTTACTTATCTAGTAAAATTCTCCGAATTATCTGCGATAACGTTTAAAGGCTTTGTCGCGTATCACATAAATCTAGACAGTTTAGTTTAGAATCGTAAATATATGTATGTATATTTACGATTATACAATATATATATATACATATATACATACACATATATATATATATATGTGTGTGTGTGTGTGTGTACCTAATGTACTAAACTCAGTGCACGCTTATTCGGCCAACGGATGAGCGTCGTCGCGGTAATCGCTGAGCAGTTGTGGGTGCATATGTGTGCGTGTGTGTGTTAAATAACTTCCGCGTTATCCTAATCACTGATCCGACTCGTTATTCGTCGTCAGCACGCTGACAGGCTCAGATTCTTTATTGTTCGATGGTAAACTCGTAGCGTCGGTCTCCTCGTTGTCACCCTCGGTGCTGTCGGCTGCACTAGAACGTGGCGCCGTCGCTGTCGCCGTCGCCGTTATTGCTGTCACGTCCTCCTTTTTGTCTTGATCACTCTCATCGTTGTCGACGACGACAGGGGACTGCTGCTGCTGTTGTTGTTGTAATTTCTGCATGTGCAATTGACTGCGTAACTTCGAGATCTCGCGAGCGTCCGATCGCCGATGACGTCGCAGCTGCGTGTTCTCCAACGCCACGCGACGTGCCAGTTCTATCACGTCCTGTGGCACGTCCAATGCCCTCAATCGTTCCTCAAGATCCGCCGCCGCGGTGCCGTCCGTATCGGAATCGCTTTCCGACGGCGACGAGGTGCCGACCTCAGAGGAGGCCGCCAGTGGTGTAGGTTCCACACTCACGGTGGATGATGTCACCGCTGCACTGCTCTCCTCTTCCTCTCCGCCTTCCTTCTCCTTCTTGTCCTTTGACGGCGTCGACTTCTTCTGATTTTCCTCGGAGACATAATACAGGGGATAAGAATCGATCACCGGCGCTTGACTCGGAGACATTTTCTCCGTTTTAATGCTAGCGGACAACAGTTCCTGTTTCTCACAAGTGGGACTCGAGGAGCGGTGACTGTGACGGCGATGCTCGTGATGATGCCGTCGTTGCTGATGAACAGACGAGGGTGGCGGTATCTGACCTATCTGTGCGGGTGCCGGTATAGGCGCCAACGCCACATTAGGTTGAAAATGCGGCTCGAATCGCTCACACTCCGAAAGCGGAATGACTCGCTCCGGATGTTGCAGTACAGGTGGGCCTCGACTGAGATATGCAGGCACCAATGACGAACTGTTGATTGACAAAGGCGATACTCATCTCAAATATCGTCTCTGTGACTCTAACAAAATATATGTAAACGATACTTACTTGTCTCTGTGCTTGCAATTGCTCGTAGTATTCCATGATTGAAAGGCTGCACCTCTTGCAGCGAGCTCGAAAAGATTCGCCCATTGCATCTGCAAGTACGAATCAGTGGCAATTTGGGTTACAGGATGGTACATTGCCAGTCCATTGCCATTGTAGATGCCAGCGCAATCGTCCTTTCCTATGTCCTTTTTTGTGCGTTTGATCAATCTCTCGTGTTCGTGTCTCAGCTAAAACAAATATTTGGACTCGTATACTCTTTAGATACATTAAGGTTAAAAATGACGTTAAACTTAATTTTATGTACTATCGTAATCTATACATTTATAACGTTAAAATCACATTCTTATTTTGAAAGAGAAACTGAATTGTACCTCTAGCTTTCGCTTGGAGCTTAGCACAAGATGCCTCTCTTTCAGCTCTCGAAAAAGGACGAGCGATTTGTTGTAGTGTTGCTGTTCACGAGAGAGCAATAGATACGACCGCCAATTGGCGGAATCGAAACCCCAATGACAGGTGCGATTCTCCAGAGATCTATGAGCGTGTCTCACAAAGCGTTGAGGAGAGAATTGATAGCCACACTCCAGACACTCAATACACACTGAATCGTCCGTTTCGAACAGTTTCGCATCGAAGATACCCTTGCACTTGCCGAAACATTCATGGTACACTTTAAATTTAACAATCACCTCTTCCTCCTCCTCCTCGCTCTTACACGGTTTCTTATCAAGACAGTCCTGCGCTGAACCGATCTGGGAAGGATCGCAAGACTCTGTTCGTAATAGCAAAGCACTGACGAGCCTTTCGGCGTCGGTCTGGGTGATGAGACCGCAGGATGGCGCGTTGCGCGGCAGGATGCCGGAATGCTTAAGCTCCTCGAGCTGATCCCGGGTGCAGCGTGAACAGTAAATCTGTAGCTCGTCGCACACCTGATTGATCTGCTGCAGGGAGAAGTCCTGCAGCACCGTGTTCAATATCTGCGGCAGGCATAATCTTCTCTCGCCACCCACTACAAAGCACGAGATCCTCTCGCCCTCGAGGATCGTCTCGCATCTCTCGGAGCAGCTCTGATCAGGTGCTGTGAGTATCGGTATCTGAAACTCGAGCTCGCGCTTCTCGCACACGACCTTCGGACGATCCACCACCGCGGCGGGTGGACGATCCTCGTCAGAGTCCTCCAACGAGCGGGGTGCCTTCGGGACGGGGGTCAACGTGCGTCCCGACGACGTCTCGCGAATCTCCTTCTCGACTATCTCCTTCGACGGTTGCGACTCCACGGGCGATTCCAGTTGGCCGCAGTTGGCCGCCGCTGCCGGACGACTGTTGATGGCGGGTGGCGAGAAGCACGACTGTTGCTCGTGCAGCAGGGCCTTACAATCCATGCCCAGCAGGGCCGAGCTGGGGCCCTGTAGGCTCTTGACAGCTGACAGCTGATAGGTCTTGAGAACGGTCTTCAACTGCGGAGTGTACGACTGGCCAGCGGCGGTGCTACCGGGCAATAGGGTCTCCATTGTGCGTATCCTAACGCGCGTATTCAACGAGCGTGTCCCCCGGAGGAACGGATCACAAGAGAGACGCGGAGACCAACGCATGCACTCTGCGCACAGCGGCGAGTCTCAGTGCACGAGATATCGCTTTATATACATGCGACTGATGTACACAATATATTACACTCTGACCGTCCACGAGTTTATTTATGTCACGAACGACGGAGCAGCGGGACCGGGCACTAGCACAACTCGGTTTCCTCGCGATTCCACTTCCATGTTACTCGGGCCCAGTTGTCGTCGTCGTCGTGACCATAGGAGCAGCACGGCTACCTCCACTGCGTTCCTCGCGTGTTGCGCCGTGAGACAAACACGAGTCCATCCTCACGCGCGAACGGGGTCTTCTAACCCGCGCTCTACGAGGCCTTCCTCGGTCGTTCGTCTCTCTCTCTCTCTCTCTCTCTCTCTCTCTCTCTCTCTCTTTTTCTCGCGCAAGCACTCTCTCTCTCTCTCGCTCTCTCTTTTTCTCGCTCTTTCTCTCTCTCTCTCTCTCTCTCTCTCTCTCTCTCTCTCTCTCTCTCTCTCTCTCTCTCTCTCTCTCTCTCTCTCTCTTTTTCTCGCGCAAGCACTCTCTCTCTCTCTCTCGCTCCGCTCTCGTCCGGCACGAGAGGCCGAGTTACACGCGTATAACCCGTTCGCGCGTCCTTCCTTCCTCCCTATGTCCGCCCCTCCCGCCACTGCATTACGCGTCGCCGATGAAGACAACGATGCGACTACCGCCGCGACCCGCGATCCCGCGTCGCCACCACTTCCACGTACAACATGATAAAGCCGCTGTCGCTCGTCCTCTTTGTCCGCGCGATCTCCTCTTTCTCCTTCTTCCTCTCCTTCTTCCTCGCGCGTGCTTTCGCGGGGCAGAAAAGCGTGTTGCGCGCGGAGATCGTATGCAGCGAGCGCTGTCCTCCGAACGAGAGAGCCTCCTCTTCTCCGCGAGCGAGTTCCCTCCGATTCTGTCGCAAACTCCCCTCTTCCTTCTTCACGTCGTCGTCGTCGTCTTCTTCTTCTTCTTTACCACTATCTCTTCCTCCTACAGCGGCGACGGCGGTTTTCAACGCGATGTTCTCTCGCAGCCGCGAAGTCGATTCGCGACGAAAGCAGCACGGTCACGGATACACGGCGAGCCAACGATCCATAGCTTGAGTCTTACAGTCTTATCGAGCGCAATCTACCGACAACGAGAAATGGCACATGATTTATATATATTCATATATATGTATATATGCTGTCTATTTATTTTTCACGTCCAAGCGTCCAAGTATCGTCGCACGTTGCTCACTGTAGTACACGCGAGCGTTTCTATTTATCATCTCCCACCGTCCGTCACTCGAGCACGGCGCACTGGTGTCGCGGATAGTGCATGTTATCAGCGTCCGCGTCCTCGTCGACGACGTTCCCCCGATTCCCCGCCGAGCGCGCCAACGCGAACTTCCTCCACCTCCTCCCCCTCCTCGTTTTCCTCCTCCTTCTCCTCCACGTCGTCGCTGTCGCTACTGGCGTCGCCGACGATCGCTATCGGGACGCCGCGGCGCCGCGCGCGCCAACAACAACGACGAGGATGTCGGCGATGATACGTCCGGTGAAAATATTATCGCATCACTGGAGCACGACCACCAGCACGGCTGGCATCGTCAGACGAGCGATCTACTCATCGGCACGTCGCGACGCAATGGCGTATCGATCGTGACGGCGACGGCGGAGGCGACGGCGGAGGCGACGGCGGTGGCGGTGGCGGCGGCGGTGGTGGTGGCGGAGCACACACCGTATGACCGTGGATAAGACGACGACGGGTAGCGGTCACTCGCGGCGACGGGAGCACGCATATTTCTTACCGCGCCGCGAGAGAGTAGGCTCTGATTGCAACGATGATTCCAATCCCGGGCGACGTGTGGAAACACCGACCATCCGCTGATGCGAGAACGCACGCACGGAGCTGCGACGCGAATATTTTTCTCTTCTTTCCCTCTCACTCCCACCACGCACGCATCTCTCTCTCTCTCTCTCTCTCTTTCGTTCTACGCACAGACGCTAACGAGACAACGGCAGACTCAGCGATATATACGTACGTTTTTTCACGCACGCACCTCCTCGTCCGCCGCGCTTTCGTGGACGACGACCGTGTAGATGCTCCGTCTCTCGTTTCTCTCTCTCTCTCCCTCTCTCTCTCGCTCGCTCCCGCTCCGCGAAGTCTTTTTGCTCTCACGCGCGGAGCGGAGGGGCCCTTCTCCTTCTCGCTTTTTTGCTCTTCCTCCTTCTCTCTCCTCTCACCCTCTCTCTCTGTCTCACTTGGCGATGTCCGCGCCTGTACACATGCGCGCGCGACCGCGTAAACACGAGACGAGAGTCGGAGACGGCGGAGCCCTTGAGAGAGCGAGACTGTCTCCTCTCATGCAGAACACACATACACACGTGCACGCACACACTCTCTCTCTGGTTTTCTCGTCCTGTGTGCGTACGCACGTACGCGTGTACACGTGCACGTCGTCGCGCTCTTTCGGTGTGAGTTTTCAACCGGCTCCATGTACCGGGTGGCGAGAAAATAAGGATCTTATGTACCCACTGGTGTTTGCCTACAACACGACATGTACCTCTTTCCAAATCTCTTCGGAGCTTTTTTTGCGTTTAGAAAAAAAAAAGCTACTTCGCAACTGTCATTAATAAGATTCATCGATATAATAAATTTATATTTTCGCTCAGATCCAGAGTGAAGAGCTAATCATGTTGAAGAATCTTATCGTCTTATATATATTATTTGTCCATCAACAACTGCGGAGAAGAATTATATAGGCATTTTACTTATATTTAATTTATTCTTGGAGCTACAAAACTATTTTTATTTTAAAAAATCTTTTAAATCTCTCTATTGTAAAGCTACTTTTTTCTGCTAAACGCAATCAAAGTTAAGTGTTTTAACAGTTAAGCGTCAAATTTGATTTAAAATAGTATGTATTAAGTTTAAGTAAAGGAAAGAATTCGTTGTCCATCTGATAGACCAACCCATATTGTACACTTTATCCAAAAGATACACATTCTAGGAATATCTTTAGAACATTCAAAGAACATAGGAACGTCCGGAGGACGTTTTAAAAACGTTAGAAATTTGCTAAATATAAGTTTCCGATCGCATACAAATCCTTTCGAGGTTTCTCTTTACTTTTAAATCTCCTCACAGTCTCCCTAGAAATCAACCCATACAGCACATTTTATCCGAAAGTCGTCCTAGGAAAGATGTCCTTGGAATGTTCAGAGGACATAGGAACATTTTCTGGACGTCCCTTGGAGATTTGTGCTGTGGGAACATTAATTTTCGATCACTTGCTCGAGAGAAGAATTCTCTTCGTTTTTAAATCCTCGCGGTCTATCTGGGATCTACGTAATCTCCTAGCCACCCGGTACGTGCACGCGCGCGTTTCTGCACGCATGCCTCGGTGTGCGTGCCGCGAGCTCTGCTCGGTCGCGCACACGCGTCCGCTCGGTGGTAAAGAATCACCGTAAACTCCGCATGCCTGTCTCGTTCCCCTCTACGAGCATCGCGGCCGTCGTCGCCGCCGCGACGGCGACGACGACGTCGACCACTCCTCCCTTTTCTTCCCCCTTCTCGCGCGACAACCGGCCACCTACTGCGCACCACCGCGCCTGTTGCGAACAGTGCCGGAGCAAGAAATCAACAACCTGATGTCACCTACATTTGTCATGCAGGATCCACGTAAAATGTTCGTATTATTCTGTTCTATTTGCGAATTACCGGAGCTCCTTGCAACCTTTTAAGTGCATCTTGGTTCTTGTAGTGTTTTTTTTTTCCCAACTCCTTTTACTTTGTTTCTACAGCTATAACTTATGGATCTGGTATTTAGAAGATATATAAGTCTGCTCGGAGTACTCTTGGGATAGTTCAGTATCAGTCCACTCGTGATTTATTGTCTTCCAGACTCCATTCGGTCCAGGACAGGGATGTAGGAATAGAAAGCAGATAAGGATGAGATGTGCGAACTTCCAGGACACAATAAACCAAGGAGTTGTATACATCTAAAAATATGATATACAGTAAGAGAAAGCAGAGACAGAACCATGGGAGAATAATTTTACTTTTATTTAAGGGACCCACTACGAATTTCTCTTGTCTCCGTTCACCTCACGGTCCTGGCCACACATCCCTGCGGTCCCCTCGCCGCGTCGGAGAGCAGGTGTGTGCGCGTCATACGCGTGTGTACCAATCCACATACATACACACACGTGCAATGCGACGTAGGCCGCAACGCGCATAGCTCGGTTACGACGCGCGGTCGGCGGCACGCGTCTGTGTGAATCGGACGCCGACAGCCGTCTAGTCATGTGACCTTCCCGTCAAAATAGCCTGCGTACCTCCCCGCGCGTTACGCACACACTCACACGGCGGCGGCATGCTGCACACGCATCTACGAGCGACGTGGAGGCGCGGCCCGCGGTGTGCGCGCTCTTTGGTATCGTTGCCATCTTGTGTTCATTGTCAGGGACGGCACGAAGCTCCGGTGTTGACGATAACGATGACGCGTTCCCATCTTCCGGAGAGCAGCCCACTCCGTCCTTAATGTATTGCGAAAATGGAAAAGACGCGTTAGTTAAATTTCGAGTACATTATTGAGAAACTCGGAGGCGCTCTTTGTCGTCTTCTGAAAATGTTAAAATATAGAATATAATTAAATGATAAGACAACAGAAATAGCTTCTCTGAGTAATCAAGTTGTTAAAAAAAAAAAACGAACGCGAATCTATAATTTTAACATATGACTATCGAATAATAAATAGTATGTAAAGTAGAATAAATATTGCAACTTTATTTATTATTCCCGCTCGTTCGGAATTTTAAAAACTTAGTCAAATATAAATCATAGAACATAATTTGTACAAAATTGTTTTATTATTATAACTTATAAAAAGGTCTATTATTTCTATCTGTTTTATTTGTCCTTTTTTTTCTTTCATGTCTCTCAATTTTTTGATTTATTTTCTTTTCGTTTATGCAGCACTTTCTTTTTCTTCTTTTTCGCTGGAATTCCACCCTCTAATGATGACGGAGAAGAATTTTGATTGTCGTCGAACTAGATAAACTAGAGCTGGATGATGAGCTGGTAAATTTGCCGGAGTTTGAGGGTTCTTCTTTAGTAATTAATGCCGGCACAGCAATTGGATGGGACTTCAAACATTCTCTCAAATCGTCTGTCAAACCACCCAAGCCGATCGACATAAAGAAGTGTGTTCTTTGGATCATCTCTGAGGAACAGTCCTTTGAACACCTCCTGCAATCCTTAACCCGTTTGTTTAGCTTCGCTAGGTGTCACTACTTGGAAAATTCCTGAAACAATATCTTGATAAATATTCTGTTGGAATTTGTGCATGGTGTTTGAAAGGATCCTTTTGATTAATGAGTCAAGAACTACGACATATTAAAATTTCAGCCAATTTTACCGAGGGCCAATATCCTATTTTATGGAGTCTTTTGAAAATTTGCTCGAATGATGTTACATATATTTTATTAATGGCGCAAAACTAACCGTTAGAAGGAATTTCTCGTACGTTTGGATTTCCACGCCCAAAAACATATGCTTGATCTCCTATCTGGGTTTCAGTTGCATTTTCATCAAATATGTACACACTGCTCGAATTCGAGCGTAGCTTGTATAGTCAGATATATAATCCATTGAAGTGCGTCTGTTCTGTGCTGCTGTCATTGTCTTTTCTCTTTTCCATCTTTATTGATACCTTCTAAATCATTGACGTCCGAGCCAAGAAATCCTTTATACAATTGCTTGTACTTCTCTTCAGAGGCAAAATAGTTCATCAAACTTGAACACATTTAATATATCTTGCGTTCCTATCTTATCATACAATCTTATTAAATGGATGATTTGATGTTCCTTTTCCACAAGATCCAGTTCTTCAGGTGTAGCCTCAAGATACTTGAATCAATTCTTCCTGATCTGGAACATAATTTCTATCGTGTACTGGACTTGCTTGTCCAATTGTTCTTCATGTAGTATGTTTCTCAGCGTTATAAAGATAGCTTCAATATCCCTTTACAAAAAGCCTGTCAGTTTCATACCACATTCTTTCTAAAACGCTATAGCCACTTTGACAGACTCGTCGATTGGCATCCCCAGTAGTAGAATCAACATTTCCAAAACAATAATCTAATAAGCTACACACTGGTTAACCAAATGCACTATAAAAGTTCCTTAAGATATGCATAAGAATTTATCGTTTCTTTCAAATTCACGTTTGATTTGCAGAATAAGTCGCTGCAATATCAGCTCATCTATGTTAGGAAACTTAGAACTGATTATAAAAATGAATGTCACATAAACTGGAGTAAACGGTGGAGATACAGCTTATAATTAAATGATGACCGTACCAATAGACCTTTAGATATTCTTATGCAGTAGCTTCTGTGTTATGATCTTGATGTCGCTAGTATTTACTTTATTAATATATCTGAGAATGGACTTCTTCCCAAGCAACATATAAGCAGCTCTTGACTTGTCGGTGATCTCTGCTCTGCTTGGAGCATATGCAATTTGCTAAGTGAGATGTACACACCTCCCGTTCTCGAGGTTAGAAGATCTACCATTCACTTTTGCTTAACATCCTCTGAGTTCTCCCGCGCTTTATCCGGTTCTCCATAGTGCCTGTTGTCAATCTCTTCCCGCAGCAAATTCCGCTTTCGGTTTACTCCACTGTCATCGTCATGATCGTCGTTGAACCTAAGACCTCTGTGATCGTCTCAGGAGCTCCGAGAATCGTCATCCCACTTGAAACTCCTGTGCTCGTCATTGCGTTTAGAACTCGTGTGATCATCATGGTACCCTGGAGTTCCTGTGATCGTCGTTATGCTTTAATCCTTTGAAATCATTACATTTGTGATCTTTGTACTTACGAAAACCTTGTCCTCGTTCTCATCCCTTCGTGAGTGTGATCTCTTAATTCCAAATTCATATAATCTCATAGCCTCCGCCGTGGCAGTTCCGCGTATTTACAACGACCGTGTATTTGCAATTATGTTATTCTGTATATGTGAAAATTGTTTGGTTATGTACTACATATTACAATACTTTTAATTATACATTGTGAAATGTAATTTACAGAAGTACGATGAAGAAAATTCACTTATTAGAACTTTAAAAAGAGATGGATACTTAAATCTTTCTAAACGCTCGGAAAACATTACGCGATTGTATGTACACAATAGTCAGGAGATGGCGCTCCGATTATTACATCCATTTGCGTCAAATTCAATTCAAAGTACATTTTTTAAAATTATGGATTGAGAATTGAGTAAAAAAAGCGTCACTAATTACACAAAAATAGCTATTTTCAAATAAAAAATATATAACAGTAGTAATTTTAAAACATAAAAATAACAATAAGAAATTGAAATAAGATTTATTAACTTGTATAATGACTATTTTTTAAAATATTTATGATAAGGCTCAATAAGTATTCAACTACTAATATAATGAAATAAGGGAAATGAGCTAATTTTCATTAAAATCTTTAAATCAATCTAATATATTGCGAAGAATATCACGTAATGTTGGCGTTTCGTCCCGGCTTCCACTACTGGACTCATCAGTAAGGTATTGTAATGGAAGCCTACCTTAGACACCTGTTTTAGTTATTAAATCGAGATTCTATATATACAGATATACGCGTATATTTTTTAAAATATATTTCCACATATATTGAATATATTTCAAATATTGAAATCCCAGAATTATATGACTTAAAAAGATAATATTAAGATAAAAGAGTTTTGGTTTGATAAGTTTTAAAATTAATTATGCTGTTCTTTATCACACAATATATATTTTGATTCTTTGAACTTATTTTTTACGAAGTTGTGAGAACCTCTATATATACAGAGCTGTATCTTATAATTTCGCTCATAAATATATTATAATAAAAGTATTATAGCAAAGTTATATTATAATAAATATAATTATCTGCTTCTTATTCACATTGTAGATAATATAATGAATTTTAATTATACTTTATCTCATATAGAAGCAAAATATATTATTTTGTAATAAGACTTTTCTATTTATGTTTTATAAAGCTGCGAAGATCTGTAAATGCATTTAATTGTTTTTGAAGCAGTACTTTTGTGTTGAAACATATTATGTTACTATATAAATATTAAAGCTTTAATAAAATATATAAAATATATTGAAATACTAAATGTAAATGTGTGGTATTAACGTGGAAGTGTCAATAAAACGCACGTGATCGCAGCGCATGCTCGCAACGCAGTATTTCGCGGCTGATATATTTCCTAACCTGAATAGTCAATTAACAATTTGGTTCGCGGAGCAGAGCGACACTTTTTTCTTGCTAAAGCTTTATTTTTACGCGAAAACGTATCGATTCAGTGTACTTGTATGCCATTTCGAGGTGGACGGGGTTTCTTGTATATTTCCGAGAATAATAGAAGATTAAAACAATGGTTGTGATATCAAGAATTTTCTCTCGCGGTTACGGTGGACTACAATCAGCGAAAATAATACGTAGGTTATGTTAAATTTTTATTTACATCGCTTTCTCAATTTTTTCAATTTACGATAACAATAACGAATCAACTTTTTAAAATTATGTTAGATACATGTTCCAGCGCATAACCGTTTTTTTTTTTTAATTAAAAACAACATTTACGAAAATAAAAAATTATATAAGTTTTAATTTTTTACTTAATCATTGTAAAAGATTATTTGAAAGATTTATTATAATAGGGATATGATTAAAATGAGAGTAAACACAATTGAGATAAATTTTTACAATTTAACAAATATTTTTTACTTTGTGCCACTCATTTATTTCTAAATTTTTTAATTTTTTTTCACCTTTTCTAAATTTTTTGCGATTGAAAAATTGGGTCGTTATATGGTAATATCAAAACACGACTTTGTTCTTGTCGTATACATAAAAGTTTTAATTACTAAGGCTATATAAAGTTGTTCTTCTGTTTTTTAGGATACGCAGTCAGAGGAAATTCTTCTACGGCTGCTCAAGATTCTGTACAAGAATCCCAAATTAATAAACCAGAGCAAAACATTGAACAGAAGAAAGTGATACCTGATAGGTATCGATTCATTTATCCAGAATTTTTACCAGATCCAGATCCAAAGTATCGTAACTCACTCCGAGAAAAGTTAGAACGCATGGATATGCTGGCAAGACGCACACACATAGCGATACCCGAGTTCTATGTTGGTTCTATATTAGCTATAACTTATTCTGAACCACATGCTCCTGGAAAAATCAACAAATTTGTTGGCATATGTATAGAGAGGAAAGGATGTGGCTTGAGAGCCACATGTCTGTTGAGAAACATGGTTAATAACCAAGGAATTGAAGTACTCTACGAGTTATATGATCCTGCAATACAGAAAATAGAATGTCTTAGGTAAATATAATTATTGGCTGTATTCTAAAGAACAGACAACTTTGTAACTATTGTAAGATTCTTTGTCATAATTAGTTATACATTTAAACTCGTCTACATAGAAGTCATAAACGACCATGAAGTCTTAAATCATAGGAAACTAATCACAAATATAAGAATATTCGACTAGAATTGGCCAATTTCTTATGTTTTGAGACCCTACAACAACTTCTATGTAAAACGAGTCTAATGAGGACTTAGGAATAAAAATTAATATTAAAAAATTTTACAACATTTGTATATGCAAAACTGCTTTTTCTACTGTACGTAGTCATTTACATAAATTGCTCTAAAATATTTCTTCTCGATGATTCTACTCGTGACACATTTAGGCTTGAAAAAAGATTGGATCCACATCTGCGATACCTGCGAGACGCCCCAGCAGAATATAGTACCTTTCCTTTCGACATGGAACCAGAATATTTGCCAGAAGATACATCGGTACCTGTAAATGAGATTAAAGTGCAGATTAATCCTCGTCCATGGTTAGAGAAATGGGAGCAGCAAGAGTTGAGAGGTATAGGAGAGTTAGACCTTAGTGAGAGACGCATTAAAAGAGCTAAAGCAATAGCAAAACCTTGGGAAAAGTACGATTTAATGAAAAAATATCGGTAAGAAAAGCAGAACATATTTATTTTTTTTTTTTGGAATATTTTACATTTTTTTTAAAGATTATACGTTCTAATTTACATAATTTATTTAGGGAAACTATCCCCGAGGAGGATCAAAATGAAATATTTAATGAAGTGCATACAAAATTACATGTAATGGAAATTGCTGGACGTAGACAAAAACACAAGCGCACTTTCGTACGTCCGCAAAAAACTGGGTGAACTTTTGATTATATACAGCATTTTTCAATCTATGTAAGGAATTAGAATGAAATAAATATATTTGTTTTCTTTTGTTATAGTTTTGTATCTTTGTAATGATATCCGCTCAGTTATTATAATCCAGTATCGTAATTGTTACAGAAAAAAATTTACAATTATTGAATTCATACAGGTGAAAAACTTGTTAATGTGGTTCTAATATTTCTTATAAATTTATACAATTTTCAGATCAAGCTAACTACACCGATTATTTGTCGGTTAAGATATTTATTAACATCAAATCATTACACATGCAGCAATAATATTATCAATTGTTTGTCAATTTGATATTACTATCCTTTGGTTTAGAATCGAGTTTCAAATCGACAAATAAATAATAGCTTGTGCTCTGGAAATTATATAAATTTACAATATTATTAGACACGAAGGACCGCCTTGACCGATTTTTCACTCATGTATTTACTTAATATAAATTATTGAATTTTTAAACAAATATATTTATTATACTATTAATTGAGTATAATAAAAAAAAGTAAATTGATTTTTTGCATAAATACTTATATCTCGTAAGTATAAAGTTTAAATAATATGCATATATGTATTATATACATATAATTTCGGACAGTTTTTAATTATTAATGAGTTAAATTTTATTGGGAAGTGAAAAATATACAATAGAAACTGGAAAATTTATTTAATCCTATATTTCTATATCGCACTGTCCGATTTTTATCGCTTTTCTGCGCCATTTTAACACTTTGCGTACATATATTTTAATAGGCAAAAACACAACATCTTATACATGGCAACGTCTTATCATACATGTATGTTAATGTTATTCTGTATCTGCAAGAATGTAAATTAAATAAACATTTAAAAGATGTCATTTTACAATAAATATACAACATTGTTCAACGGAATATATATACTGCAGTTAAACTCCGATTTTTGTATCAAAGTGTTAAAATAGATAAGTCTTCCTCTTTTTGTTTATTTTTCTTTACTTACTACTTTAATATATGTATAAGAGATCATTTTTTTTAAGATTAAATTAACTCGTTAGTAAAGCTACATTAATTTCTTTAACCATTTTAATACGATATAACATTTTGATGAGCTGTTCCTTCGCGAGAGGCGATGTCGAATACCATACCGGACTATCTGGAACACAACTGCGTTCTGGCAATAGATAGAAGACATCATTTCTCGTCTTAACGCTTTCAGGGCTGGAATATTTCAAATGCAAGATGGTGTAATGTAGCAATAAATTAAATTTAATGTTTTTGTTTATTCAGTTATAATATACATACGTACCATTTCGACAAGTAGAATTCATATAACTTAACAGGACATTTCAATGCATTTTCCTCATTTTCTTGTTGTTCATATACCTTCTTTTTTCGAGAATTAGCTTCTGTAAAAAGAAGCAATAAATAATGAATTAATTTGTACCGATAAATCAGGATTAACACTAAAACTTTTATGGTGGGTGGGTGGGTGGGTGTGTGTGTGTGT